GCTGATGTTACAGACATAGGGAAAATTCCAGTCCATGGCCAGGCCGCCAAGCTCCACTGTCCTCTCACAACAGTGGCTAAGGAGGTGCATATCATTCGACCCCAAAAGTTTCCAGGGCGGCGGTCTCTCACCAAGGCCAACCCATGGAGACTTTGATAGAAAGCTCAGGGGTGAGGATAGCCATATTCCACCTCCTCGGGCCTTATGTCCATAGAACCAGTATCCCTCCTGGGATTAGCAGCATCAGGGAATCCAATATTCAGCTCAAAGGAGGTTTAAGTTCGTAAGTGTTCGTCAAAGAGTTCTACATGGTAGGGAATCCAGACAGGCCAGATGGAAGTGGGGAAAAATTAGGAGTAGTTCAGCAGGCCAAGATGGATGGGAAGCTATGATCGTAATAGGCCAATAGGCCAAAACTCAGTCCAAAGGAAGGAGGAGGGGGGGATTCAAACCGCATAAATTTGTAGTCATTTTCCGGCCCCAGTAACCATCAACCTTCCATTCTAGTGGGTAAAGCTCCCCTATTTCATCCCCCCCTATCCAGCTCACCCTGGGGGGGGTCTCTGGGTCTCCCTGGAGGTAACCCTTCCCCCAAGGGTCACATACTCTCCAGTCACCCCGAAATCAGATCTAAATCCACTGCTGAAGGGTCCTGTGCCGTCTGTTTGGAAGTCTGTAGGCCCTTGGGAGCCGCCCCAACCTCGGCGCCATCGCCATGGTCACCGCCATGGCCATCACAGTCCCCATCGTCATCATCGCCATCGCCCCCCCCACGGACGTCCCCAGCCGCCCCCTGCCTCCAAAGATCCACCTCGAGGCATCCAGGGGCGTGGGGAACCTCCGTAGGGGCCTCACAATGCCGACGTCATCCAGGAGCTGCCGCCGCCGCCGCCATGATCGCCTGTGGCCGCCGCCGCTAGCACCGCTCCCCTGCAGGCCGCAGGCCGCCATCACCCACCGCCGTCCCGACGTCATCCCCCTCAGAGCTGGGATGGTCCGGGGAGCCGACAAAGCTCCCAACGGGCTCCTCAGATGCTGCTTCGCCCGGGCGGGGGGGTCATAGATGTTTGAAATGACACCCCTGAGCCCCCCCAAGCTGAGGTATCGCCCCCAAGAAGCCGAGACTCAGCGTCGGAGCGCCATCTTGGACATGCGCAGAAGAAGAAAAATCATAAACACATTCTATTCTATTAGTAGAAATACATAAGAAAAAAAACACAACAAACCAACAGTGATAATAACAGTAAATCTGAGGGTAGTATTCCTCAGATGGTGCCACATTTCTTTCAAAAAAAAATAAATCAATCTCCAAATACCTTCTGCATTAACCAACTCTTCATAAATCTCCAGAAGGCCATAAGGGTTAGTCTTATAAATGATTCTGTAAAAAGGGACAGCCCCCGCCCCGAGAATATTTATTTCCATGTGTACTCACACCGAATAAGTTGGGAGCTTCAGCAGGCATTATCTGCTTGCATGCAGATGCAAGCCCAAAGCCATATAAGGATTTAGAGGTAATAATCAACATTTTGTATTATACACAGAAACAATGTATTGCTAGTAAAGATGGGCATTGGACAATCAAACCTCATGCTCCCAGATACCAGAAGGTAGGAAAATAAATTAGACACAAAATTCACATGGCATTTCTTTCTCCCTTTATAGGACACAGTTTCTATTTTATGAACTGAAACTATGGACAATAAATCTATATCAAGGAATTTTGAAGCAAATACTTTTTTCTTTCTTTCTTTTCTTTTCTTTTCTTTTTTTTTTTTTTTACAAATAGAGCATCTTATAACAAAGCACACTGCTCTCTCCTCTTTACATTGGTCATCTTTTCTTCCATATATTTAGAAAAATATTCAAGGAATGCTTCCAATTTTCTGCTCAGACTTCATCTCTTTAAGAAGCAGAATTTACATTGCTGGTATACTGCGGAGATACTATAAAACCAATGCTTCATGCCTATCTGTTTTGAAATTAAAAATTGAGGCCATCTCCTTGTAAATATACTACAAATAGAAAACAATAGATTTTTCAAATAATTCAAATTTTGTCCTTGTTACAAAACTAGGTAATTTTGTCCATGGTTCTCCCTTCATCTTTGTAGTAGGCATCACACCCTTCTTACACTCAGGGTACACAAAGATTTCCTAGGAAACCATTATTGTTTTAGGGAAGAATTTAAACGTGCTCCTTTCAAACTTATTTAGAAGTAAGTCACATCAATCTTAATGGATTTTCTTTCTGAGTAAATGGCCTAGTTTTGTGCTGCCAATAGAACAATGAGTTTTGAGAGCAAATGGATTGGAGATGAGTAGTAAATAGCAGAATAATTTACAAGAAATTATTAGCAATCTGTTCTGCTTAGAATTTTCAGCAGAAAAGTTATTTGTCCAGAGATATATATTATTAAGGGCAATGACTATAGTATATTTTTTTTGGTAAGGCAAAACAATTTGCTTTTTGGCAAAGCAAAACAATTGGCAAAGCAAAACTGCCTTCCTTCATGTATAAATCTTGAAAGTAAATATCAAAAATAGTATTTCCAATTCTATTTTGAAGGAATGCACTCACATTAAGATATGAAGTGTGGATTCTCAATTATTAGTGACTTTGCCAGCTGTTAAAAATAAGACAATGCAGAAAACATAGTCTAAAATTATTCATTGATGATTGATGTGAAAATGGCAGCTCTCCAAATTTTGTAGCCTCTGGAACAAAACCATCTGGCTTGGCACCCAAATTCTGGATGAAATTCCAACATTTGTTTCATTATCCACATATAGTTCTGTTATTTCTTTTATATCTCATTTTCTCAGCCAAAAATAGCTTCCAAAGTAGCTAACCATCTAAGGCCAATGCAAAATATAATACAGTGTTAGAAGTGTTTATATGTATATTATATAAGTGAATTGAAGTGGAAATTGCTCATCTAACATTAGCCATAAAGTTTGCTGTTTATAGGATTAATAAACATGGTAGGTGGCATCCAACATATTTTTAAACAGCTTTAGCAATGGTTCTTAAAAATGTGTAGGACTATCAGAATCCCAGTTAGATGCTATGTTCTAAACATAGAAAGTTATGGAACATGGATAAGATTTAAAGGATATCATAGTGGTATCCTAAAATAATACTTGGTTGAATGATATAGTTGAGTCATTTTAGACATAGCAGTAAATAGCTTTGTCCATCCTCCTTTTAGGTAATTTCACTGTCCAGCATGTAACAACTGTTGCATGCTTTAGAACTACTTCAATATTTGTTGTAGATTAGAAGGAGAAAATATTATACTCTATGTTAATTTTGAATGTGCAAATTCTGAGCATGTGTTGTATTTCAAATGGAAGGAATGCTGTGGTACCACATTATGCCAGAAAGTTGCTATGCTACCTTTACCTGCCATTAACCATTAAGGTTATCCTATGCTTTAGATTTGAAAAGAACAAGAGTGTTGGAGCACACATAAAAGCAATAGTACTTAGACTTATATACCACTTCATAGTGCTTGTACAGCCCTTTCTATGAGGTTTACAGAGTCAGCATATTGCCCCCAACAGTTTGGGTCCTCATTTTACTCACCTTGGAAGGATGGAAGGATGAATCAACCTTCAGCCTGGTGAGATTTGAACTGCCAAATTGCAGTCAGCCGGCAGTCAGCAGAAGTAGCCTGCAGTGCTGCATTCTAACCACTGCACCACCGTGGCTCATATACATTGCTTCTCAAATCAAATGCATGTTTTCCTGAGAATATTTATTCATTGAATTATTTTCTAATTCGTTTTAATTCAAGAACAGTTTTTCCCCGAACGCCATCACTCTGCTAAACAAATAATTCCCTCAACACTGTCAAACTATTTACTAAGTCTGCACTACTATTAATCTTCTCATCATTCCCACCACCCATCTCCTTCCACTTATGACTGTATGACTGTAACTTTGTTGCTTGTATCCTTATGATTTATATTGACTGTTTCCTAATATTTGATTGCTTATTTGTACCCTATGACTATCATTAAGTGTTTTACCTTATGATTCTTGACGAACATATCTTTTCTTTTATGTACACTGAGAGCATATGCACCAAGACAAATTCCTTGGGTGTCCAATCATACTTGGCCAATCAAGAATTCTATTCTATTCTATTCTATTCTATTCTATTCTATTCTATTCTATTCTATTCTATTTCTATCCAATTGACTGTTATACTAACTACTCAGATTTCAGCAACACCTAGTATGGCTGAAGCCTTGTTCCAATGTCATTGGATATTCCTGAAGAAGGTGGAGCAAGAAATAGAAGGAGAAATCCTATACAAAACTATCATTTGAAGTGCAGTCTTCATATTCCCATTCATTTGATTTATGGATTATTAATTGGCAACACTGGCAGAAAATTGGTTGAACAAAATATTTATAATGAGAAATATAAACGTTGCTTTAGATAAGCCAAATAAGACATGATGTGGCTAAGTAAGATGTACTTCATCAAATAAGGGACTCTTATGATGTATGGGATGGTTGTCTTTGCAAAATGGACTCCCCAAATGCCATACTTTCCAAAGTAGTCAGGGGTAAGGCTCAGGCCTTAACCTATGATTCTCACAGCATCCCTGCTGAAATTCAGGGCCAGAATGGCTGATGTTCAGCTACATAGTTTTTAATAGTCCTAACATTTATCCTATGTCGTTTTCTGAAATAAATGGATTTTTTTCATTTTTTCTTATCCTCAGATGTGAAGCGCAGGACACTAGTAGGTTTAAGGAGAGTGACTTAGTTTAGTCTCTCACTATCATAGAAAATGTTGTCAGTTCATTTATTTAACCTTCATTGTTTCTTTCTGTGTATGCATGTGTGTATTTTTTACCTACAACAATGATTTCTGCATACATAAAGTTATTCCCAGAGATGACTTATTGAAAACCAGTTCTTTAATGAAACTACATATTTCCCTTTTGGCTGAGGAAAACTGAAGATGTCAATTTTTGTGTCTAGGTGATTGTGAAAACAAGAACAGAATATCAACCAGACCAGAAGAACAAAGGAAAACTTAGAGTGCCCAAAATTGCTGAATTCACAGTCAGTTTCACTGATGGTGTAACAGAAAGGTTAAAGGTAAGAAATGCAGAGGTATGGTAAATGTCCACTTTTCAATTTTCATAGAATAATTAACAGACAGCAGCTCTCCTATTTTGCTTTTAAAATGGCATACAACTCAAGATCAAAGTATACATGGACTTAAGAATTCTTGGGTTGGAATATACAGTTTACCAATGCATGGTAATACATCTGCATTAGAGATTGGATTAGATGTATGACATGAAGAGGAAGAGGGATTCAGCCAGGCCCAGCCAAACTCTTCCAAGCTGCTATTACTCATGCCACAAGAAACCTACACTTACAGTCAGAATTCAGTTGGGGAAACTTGCCTTCATTATATCCATGATTTAAATGTTTCCTTAATTAATTAATTAATTAATTACCTTAATTATCTGAATTTTGGTACGTTCAGCCTCAAAATCACAATATATTTCCAGAATCTAAACAGGTAAATGATTCTTCATCTTTCTGTAAAAAGCATGTATTATATTAAATCTATGTTCTACTCCATCTGTTTCTTATTGGCATAGAGGTTTCAGAGTTGTTAGCCTATTACATAGTGGAAAAGCAGACCTGCTTATGCAACAGATTGAATTTGTGCTCAATTGCAAAGTTTTATACTGTTGCAAAAAAAATTCCAGATTAAAAGGATGTCATCTCCCTGACTCAAGATGATTACTGGTAATATTTCCACTGTTGGATGGATATAATCAAAAAGCAGAAATTGCATTTGAACATGAAACTCATGCTTGCAGACTATATCTGTCAAGGCCATTTCATTGGCAAGTATGATCTATTGTCTTTGATCTGGGTTTGCTCTAAAGGATGAGATGACAGCTATAAGCTTTATTTATCAATAAAGAGGAATCATTAATTTTGATATGAGAATGAACTGCAGCAAGTTTTAGGGTGATATAATCCTGCTCCTGTCATTTCTTTTTTCTGTCTGTCATGAGGTATTTGTTCAATTTGCATTTTAATGTAAATTTACTTAATTGGCAGCTTTCAAATCAATGTGCAGCAGCCTGTGAATATATACAATTGTATATTTTAAAGAAAAGTGTGCCTGAAATGTCTATATTTTTTTGATGAACTGCACATGAATGGATATGAAATTTTAATATAGACATGGAAATAAAAGAATTATAGTCTGATTCTGTAAGGAATTTAATTCTAAAAAAATTAGGACCTGAAATGAAAGTATCTTATTTTCTATAGAAAACTAGCAGCTTCCACTTTTATTTATTTATTTATTTATTTATTTATTTATTTATTTATTTATTTATTTATTTATTTATTCAATTTATATGCCGCCCCTCTCCGAAGACCCAGGGCGGCTCACAATACACTCAAAAATCACTATAAAAACACTTAAAAATTAAAAACATTAAAGATATTAAAACACATTCACACCATTCATGGCCAGATCTCATCAGATTGCAAAGCAAGATCAACGGCCCCAGGCCTGCCGGAAAAGCCAGGTCTTCATCGCTTTTCGGAAGGCTAATAGGGTGGGGATGGTCCGGACCTCAGGAGGTAACTGGTTCCAGAGTGCTGGGGCAGCCACAGAGAAGGCCCTCCCCACCCGGCATTATTTAGCTGATGGGACCCGGAGGAGACCAACTCTGTGGGATCTTATCAGTCGCTGGGAGCTATGCAGTAGAAGGCGGTCTCGAAGATAACCTGGCCCTGAGCCATGTAGGCTTTAAAGGTAATAACCAACACCTTGAATTGTGCCTGGAGACCAATAGGGAGTCAGTGCAGCTTGTGGAGAATTGGTGTAATGTGGGTGTACCTAGGTGCACCCACGACAGTTTGCGTGGCTGCGTTCTGGACCAACTGTAGTTTCCGAACACTTTTCAAGGGTAGCCCCATGTAGAGCGCATTGCAATAATCTAACCGTGAGGTGACAAGGGCATGAATGACTGTGAGGAGAGCCTCCTGATCCAAGTAGGGTCGCAATTGGTGCACCAGGCGAACCTGTGCAAAGGCCCCCCTAGCCACAGCTGTCAGATGTTGCTCTAATCTTAGCTGTGAGTCTAGGAGGACACCTAAATTGCAAGCCCATTCTGCGGGGGACAATTTCTCCCCCCCCAGAACCAAGGATGGACAATCAACATAGTCTTTAGGAGGCAGTACCCACAGCCACTCGGTCTTGTCTGGGTTAAGTCTGAGCTTGTTGACTCCCATCCAGACTCTCACAGCCTCCAGGCATTGGCACATCACATCCACCACATCACTGAATTGACGCGGGGTAGAGATATACAGCTGGGTATCATCAGTGTATTGCTGATACCTCACCCCGTATCCTCGGATGATCTCACCCAGTGGCTTCATGTAGATGTTAAATAGGAGGGGACAGAGGACTGAGCCCTGAGGCACCCCGCAAACGAGGGGCGTAGGGGTCGATCTCTGTCCTCCTACCAACACCGACTGTGACCGACCAGAGAGATAGGAGAAGAACCACCGTAACATGGTGCCTCCCACTCCCAGCTCTCTTAGTCGTCCCAGAAGGATACCATGGTCAATGGTATCGAAAGCCGCTGAGAGGTCAAGTAGCACCAAGATGGAGGAATGACCCCCATCTCAAGCTCGCCAGAGATCATCCATCAGCGTGACCAAAGCAGTTTCCATGCTATAGCCAGGCCTGAAGCCAGACTGAAAAGGGTCTAGATAATCTGTTTCCTCCAATGACCGCAGGAGCTGAAGTGCCACCACTTTCTCTACAACCTTTCCCGCAAAGGGTAGGTTGGAGACTGGATGAAAGTTCTTTAATTTTGCTGGATCCAGGGAAGGCTTCTTGAGGAGGGGCCTTCCAACTGCTTCCTTTAACGGTTGCAGGAAGGACGTGTTAACTAAAGCCTAGGACCAGCCTTGTCTCACCTCCCTGCTGGCCGAAACCAGCCAGGAGGGGCACGGGTCCAACAAACAAGTGGAGGAACTTATCGCTCCTACAGCCTTGTCCACTTCCTCAGGAGTCACAGGCTCAAACTCATCCCACACAATAGGACTAAGACCTGCCCCCGTCATCTCGGTTGGAATTGCCCAATCAGAGTCCAGGTCCATCCGAATCTGAGCGACTTTATCCGACAGAATAAATTTAATTTTGTTATTAAATTAGTATCAAATGCAGAAGACTTTCCTGTGATCTCCAAACTTCAGCAGCCATGAAACATGTATCTGGAATAAAACAATCTTGGAAAACATTGTTTGATCACAAGGCATTGCTAATTCCATAAACATCATAAATAAAATCCCCATCTATTAAGAATATGTCAGAATTTCATGCATAATTGACAAGCCTTCTATATACAGTATACAGTATGTGGGAAACACAGCTTCTATATCCATGTTGCCATATGGATGGCATCCACATCGAAAAGTGATCTTATGGGTATAGTATTAGCAATCATGTGGCATATGAAGCTGCAGAGTACTTCCGTTGACTGGAGTACTATTCTATATACCAATGAATTCTGTGTCAACATAAGATCTGTAAGAGTTAGTTTGAAATGACCTATGGACATGGAAATCAAAAATCTGCCAACAATCAATACAAAATGTAAACATTAATAGCAGTTGGACTTAAATAAATGCAAGGGCCACATTTTATGCTTTGAAAAGTTCTGAGAATCCTTTGAAATCAGTATCTTATGTTTTCTTAAGCCAGGAAAACATTGGGACTCTCTAGCCTGAAATATGGAGGCATATTTAATTACAAAAACACATTATTGACAACATAGTTCCCTATCACTTTTATTTCTCTTTAATTGATTTAATTTAATTGATCTCCCAAGATACTTCTATCATTCTCTTTCCCTTCCCAAGCTTTCTTCTCACACTGGTTTTTATCTGGGTCAGCAAATAAATCCAATGATCTGTCATTCAATGGAAAATGTCAGTGCTATTTTCTGACTTCATCTGTTTTTGATTTTGGCCTCTCTGTATTACGTATTAATCACCTATCATCATAAGAGAAAATAGATCAGGCTGTAAACTTCTGCCTGCTTTTCATAATATTCTAGATTAACTTTATTGACTTTGTTGAATTATCAAATGAGTTGAGATAATAGATCATTTTTATTATCTTCTATATGGTTTTAAAAATTGCTTTTCATTTTTATTCCAGTGCATATTGTAAGGAGGTTGCTAAATATACTTCCTTCAGATTACATACATCTTGTACTGGAAAAATAACTTTCATTTGTGCTTATGGAGAAGGGAAGTGGCATAAATGTTTTAATGTTTATTGATTTTGATTTTGACACTTTTTAAAAAGAAAAGAAAGGAAAGAAAAGGAAAGGGGTGAAGGAAATAAAGATTAACAGATCTTGTAAATGAGATCCTCATGTTTTCTGTTTTTAGATGGAAGCTTGTTACTCAGTATAACTCTCCGGTGAGCAATGTGCTAGAAATTTCATTTTCACCTTTCTGGAACAGTAAAAAAAAAAAAAAAAAAAAAAGGACTTTTACCATACATATAAGCCATCTTTTTGCCTTTTCTAAATCTTTGTGAGATTGCTTATTAAGAAGCAATTACTACTATGCTCAATGGGATTTGCTCTTAAATTGGATGTGAGGAACTGCAGCCTTCTTTGTCCTTCCATCCAGTGATTATCCATAGAGCTTTTCTGTAGGATTCTTGGTGTCCAAATATAAGGAAGGAGCAAGTGATTTGACTAATATCAATGGGATTCATATAGCTGTTTGAGAAGCCTTCATTTTCCAAAATGACAATTTTCTTAGTTTTGCTTCCCCAGTTTTACTAATTATGATGCACATTTACTTTTGGGTAAACTCATTTGAACTTAATGGGCCCCTCTGCGGATATTGTTGATCTACAGGATCTCTTTCCTAAAAGGTCATGTGATGCTTGAAACATTTGAGTCTGTTTTTCAAATATAGACTGATTAATTATTAATTAATTGTTTGTTTTTGGTAAGATAGTCTTATGAGGAAAAATGTAAGATTACAGATATTTTCTTAGTGGTTGAAGTTTATAAAAACAACTATAT